TACAGGAAGCCCGGGGCAGAGCAGCTCTGCCCGGGGCTTCCTGGAATCAGTCGCTGATTAGTTTCAACAGGCTGAATCTGGAGTGCCCCCCCCCAGCACACCGGGGAGCCCCGGAGCAGCTTTTCTCGCCCCGGAGGACATGGTGGCGGGACCGCTGCGCTCTGGGCGGTCCTGCCACCCGCGAGCTCCGGGGCGAGAAAAGCCCCGTTCGTAAGTCGGATCCGCGTAAGTCGGGGACTGCCTGTATACCTGTCCCCGAGACTGGGACCAGTATGGAGGAGACGGTTGTTGAATACCTCAATTTATTCTTCATGTTTGGTGTTTCAGCCACGATGCCAGCGTAGAGCCAGACTTGATTTCCATCCTTGTATTTTGCCACAACCCGGCTTCCAACATAGAGTTTCTCGGCAGAGGGATGATAGTCATACGCAATGTGATTGCCAGAAAGCAAACTCTTCCCCTTGTTGTCAAATTTCACTTTGAACTTCTTCCCAGCACCTGAAAAGGCATGTTAGAGAGCTCCGATCAGTGAGAACCAATTGCAATCATCCAGTCTGCCTAACATAGTCATGGGACTTCCTTGTCTTAATTACTGTTTGAACTAAAGCCTATCTTTCAGCAAAACATCCACTCAGGTCTATGATCCAGGGTAGCAACCTACTTGAGAAGAGTCTAATTCACAAGATTATTAGCGAGACCACATCATTTATCACCTTTAGATGGACTATTTTGCAGCTATCTTTTTACCCAATGATCTGAAAGCACCTACAAACATTCAGCCTTAGCACCCTTGCGAGCCACACAAGTGTTATGCCCTTTTACACAGTGGGGAAAACAGTACAACCAGTGGATATGATTTGCCCCACCAACCACTGCATGATAAAACTGGGCCTAGAATGTAGGAATTCTGGACACCCTTCCGCCCGACTCCCGTTTTAGCAGACAGCCCATGCTACCTCCACACACATTGTTATTCCATTGCTACTCTTAGCACAACTGCACGAGCGGTTCTAGTAGTAAAAACTAAAGCAGACGTTTATAGAGAAAATAAACTATCCTGCTTCAGAATACAGGAAAATCACTAATGGGGTCAGGAAGAAACTTTCCCTTGGGGGCAGATTAGCCTACTATCTAATGCAGGGTTTCTTGCACCTTCCTCTGAAGCAGCTGGTCAGTTTTAGACATGGGGCCTGTGACTAGATGGATGACTATTCTGATCTGGTATAGTACTTCCTACGTTCCTTACGACATAGTTCTACCATCTTAAAGACACAAGTTCTTAACAGAGGCAAGATGCCAAAGACTGACCACCCCAGAGCTAAGTGATGCTAAATCGGAAGGTTAAAATACCCTTCTCAACATCATCAGGTTCTAGCAACAGGAAAACATTAAATAACTAGTGGACTGGCACTGATCTTTAGACTCATTCTCACCTGAAAGACTGCCCTGATCCAGAGTTGGTGAGGAGAGCAAAGCACTATGCATTGACACTCAAATATTTCAATCTCTTAATCTGAAGGGAAGATAGGACATAGAGACAGGCAGCAGCACAAACCTTAAGACAGCATTTAACTTGTAGGTAGCAAGTTCAAAGCCAGGCCAGATGGGAGTGTTGTTGCCACCCAACATACAATACGCTGGCTGCTGCAGGACAAATAAAATGGTAGCCTAAATCAAGTTGACAAGGCCGTAGGGCAACTTACTGCACTATTACTCTCCTTAATTTTCTTGTGCTGTGCACGGAAGACTACAAATCTAGCACATGTTGGTCACTAAATTCACAAGAATACTTAGCATGCTGCATTCCCCTGGAGACACAGCTGGCTAGTTCACAGCCAAGACTGACTCACTCACCTACTGCCTGGATTGCAATCAAAATTCCTTTGTGCCACGTCTTGGTCCGCTTCTTGCCTAGGATACGCATACCGACCACCAGGTCACCATCATTGCTGAGGTCACCCCCAGCAAGGCCAGAGCCCACCTGCTGGGATCCCGCAACAGAGCTCGGGGGAGAGGACAGCCCATCTGTCCAGGAGAAAACAAACAATGTAAAGTCAGAAATCATTTTTCAAAGCAAACTTCTTACCTATGTAACTAAAACCTCTTGGGTGCGTCTAGGCTGGCAAGATTTTGCACAAAAGCAACCGCTTTTGTGCAAAAGCTTGCCAGCTGTCTACACTGGCCGCTTGAATTTGAGCAAGAGCACTGACTTTGTAATGTATAAAATCAGTGCTTCTTGCGCAAATACTTTCACGCTCCTGCTCGGGAAAAAGCCCTCTTGAACAAGACTACTTGCGCAAGAGGTCCAGTGTAGACTGGGAAGAACTGTTTTGCGCAAAAAAGCCCCGATGGCTAAAATGGCGATCGGGGCTTTCTTGTGCAAAATTGCATCTAGACTGGCCACGGATGCTTTTGCGCAAAAGCACTTTTTGCGCAAAAGCATCCGTGCCAATCTAGACACGCTTTTGCAGAAATACTTTTAATGGAAAAACTTTTTGCATCTTCCTGGGCGCCACCATTTTTAAATCCCCCTTAGTCCGAACTCCGTTCCCACAGCTGCACGCGGCCCGGAGTTCGAATTAGGATCTCTAATTTGAACTACTGTTACTGCTCGTGGAACGAGGTGTACTGGTAGTTCGAATTAGAGATCCTAATTCGAACTACCTACTCCGTGCCGCGTATAGCTGCGGGCACGAAGTTCGGACTAAGGGGGATTTAAAAATGGCGGCGCCCGGGAAGATGCAAATGAAGCCCGGGATATTTAAATCCCGGGCTTCATTTGCAACTCCATTTGCCTACCTAGCTCGAACTACTGAGCTAGTGTAGACATACCCTAAGGACAGCAGTGACCTATCTCTGACTGATACACAAAGCCTGGGCACATGGGCAAATGGCTAAGCCAAGTGCCCTCCCTCTCTCTCTCTCTCTCTCTCTCTCTCTCTCACACACTCACACTCACACTCACACTCACACTCACACCCTACACCTACCTTTTTGCGGGTCCTGGGCATTTGTTTTTTTGTTAACTGCTTCCATAAATTTCTGAACATCTTGGGCAGACTTCCTCATTGCAGCCATGGCTTCTCGAAGCTATCGGGAAGGAAAGAGGAGGAAGAAATAAAGACATTTTTCAATATAAAATTGTATTTTGAGGGGTTGCAACTTCAACTTGATTTGTTTGGCCCACAAATTTCTCTAGGAAGTACAACGAAGCTCAACAAAATTTAAGACCGTCAACTCTCCAGAGCAATGGATGCCTTCTTTAATATTTGCACAGTGCCTAGCACAATAGAACCCTGATTGATACTTGTAATACAAGAGTGCATTGCAAACATGAAGCATTTTCAACTCACCAGTGTCTGATCCTTTGAGAGTCTGTTACTTGCATCACCTATATTTAAACAAAAGAAACAGAAGAAGCCACTTGACATTTGGACTAATGCTGGAAAGAGTATATAATCGGACCATAACCTCCTTCTTCCAAGATATCAAAACAAAGGGAATGGGGCACAGAAAACAAACATTCCAAAAGAGACACATTTATGAGACGATCCACTCTATTAAGTCAAAGATTTACACTGATCCTAGAGTGGGTCACTTAAGACAAGTTTCACAGCTCCCATGAAATGCAGCCACTTCTGAGGCGAAACGTGCCATTACAGAGTAGGGATATTAAATATCGGTTAATCGACTAGCCAAGTTGCCTCATGAATTCTTACCGGTTAGTTGACTACTCTATAGTCTCCGGGGCCGGCGGCCAGTGTGCTCTGGCCTCACTCCCAAGCAGCCCCCTGCCACTCTGTGCTGCTGCCTCTGTATCAGAGGCAGCAATGTGGGGTGCCAGGCAAGAGCTGGTCTGCGAGGGGAGCCAGTTTAAACACCAGCACTCCTCACAGACCAGCTGCCTGTCACCTGATACAGAGGCAGCAGCGTGGGGTGGCAGCAGCCTGTGTCCGAGAGGGTGTGGAGATGGTCTGAGCTTGCAGACTTGGCTAAAGCTGGAACTGAGCCTGGCTGCCTGCCCGCCTGGCTCCTAATACACTTTAAATGTAGAGTTGCAGAAGGGGTAGATCCCGGACCTTGTCGCAAGCCAGGACTAAGCCAGGCTGCTGGCCAGCCTGTAAAAAACATTTATTGGCAGGAGTGGTAGGGGAGGGACATGCATGTAGTCTATAGCATTAATATATAAACTTTTACTTATCGGTTAATCACGCCACTATTGCATCCCTATTACAGAGGGATAACTGGCACATAAGTGTTGGGGTTAACAAGCAAGGGAAAATTTTGGGGTGGGATATCTGGATAAGCCTTAATTCTTAAGAGCTATGGAACATTTAAAATGTATGCAGATCATACAGAATCACTGTTAGTAAGGACTCTCCCAAGAAATACATAGTAATCTTAATGGAACTCCTTTTGTACCATTAAGAATGCCTGGAAGAACATGCTGATCCTTTTATGGTTAAAATGTGTAGTTCTAAGAAGTCCTACTATTTCAAAACTGAGGCTTAGCCATCCCTCTTCAAACAGGAAGTTCTTGTGAACAGAATCTCAGGATAACAGGGGGCCACCTCTTGAGCACCCACATCTAGTGACTTCAATGAGCGCGGTGAGAACTTAGGATCTCAGCTCCTGACCAAATTTTGCCTATTTGTTGAGGAGAGAGGATTCCCCAGGATACGTTCTCATTTCACTCTCCTTCCCCACCCAAAAGCTGTGCTTTGGGATGAGCTAACTAGTCCTTCTGGCTGCTTCTCTGCACAATTCCTGAGGGAGGGGAGTGTCATATGAGAGCTTCCCAATTTAACTGCTTTCAATTAGGGAACAAATGCACTGACTTCACAAGCACCACTCTTATTACACTTCCCACAGGCTCCATGGGAGTCTCCATCCGGTCCTGCACAGCCTTACAAACAATAGTCCTAATGCATATTCTTGAGGATGCTCTTTGACCAACTCCCCATCCCCCTTCATATTAAAACATAACAACGGCCAGACTGGGTCAGACCAATGGTCCATCTAGCCCAGTATCCTGTCCTGACAGGTGCCCCAGAGGGAATGAACCAGACAGTAGTCACCCATTCGCAGCTTCTGACAAACAGAGGCTAGGGACACCATCCCTGCCCACCCTGGCTAATAGCCATTGATGGACCAATCCTCCATGAATGTATCTAGCTCCTTTTTTGAACCCTGTTAAAAAGTTATATTCTTTCCAGGGATATGCTTTTATCTCCCCACCCCCTCCTCCAACCCACTTCCCAATGTCACGTGGAACACTGAACTGCGCTTCCAACCCGAATCAATACTCATAACATCGTCGTCATCCTCATCTGGGATTTCGATCACTTCCATGGGCTTGGAGGCTGAATCTTCATCTTCAGAGCTGCTCTCACGATACTGAAGGCCCAGCTTGGAGTAGAGATCTTTTACCAGTATCTCACATTTACCAATGGCTCTGCAACATATTGAGGGGGGAAAAAAGGGGCAGAGAGAAAGATCCAAGATGAATATAATTATACCCCACTCCTCCCAGGAAGAGGAGAAGGTTTTGCACAGCTGATACCTGCTACTTTAAGGGGTTACTCAGCAATTGTGGCCATTATCACCACTAAGCAGAACTGCGAGTTTGCCCAAGTAAGCAAACCAGAATTAGGGGTTGGACAAACTAACCCGAAGGACTCAAAGCCACTACACGAAACAGCTACCAAAGTGCACGCGCTTAGTGAGTACTTCTAAGAATCTGAGTGCATGAAACTTGCCTACACATCGTCCAGCAAGTCAGTGGTAGAGATGGAAATAGAACCTGAGAATCCTAATGCCCAGTTCCCTCTTCTAGAATTCTCTTTGCTACCTCCACTAGCTCACTCTTCAACACAAAGTTGCCACTGCAAGTATACCTACCTTGAAGCATCATCGAAGAGCTGGTCAACATATGCCACTTCTGCTTCTTTCTGTTCCACACTTTTTTCCAGCTCTTCCAGCTGCTGTTTCCTCTGTTTCACACTCTCAAACTTCTCCAGCTCCTCATCAATGAATTGCTGGAGCTCCTCCATAGAGATCCCCAACTCCTCTATCACTTCTTGCTGCAACTCTGTTACTTCCTGAGAATCCATTTTTGCTAAAACCAAAGCAATAAAAGAAATATGTGACAACATGCAAGCTTCCAAGGCTCTGTCACACACAGTGTATGTCAGCATAAGTATTGTACCACTCTAACCAACCTGACTGCAGTATAAGACCTCATAAGCATATGGACATTTTGGATGTAAGAGTGTAACTGTTTACATGGGTAACAGGTAAGCATGAGCTTATCAGTTTCACAAATGGTTACATGCGGCTCCGGGTCCGGATCCTTGGGAGCAGCAGGTGGGAGCCAATACATGTGGAAAGCTAGCTTAAAAGTTGGTTCCCTGCTCTCTCTATGGGTATGTCTACACTACCCCCCTAGTTCGAACTAGGGGGTGGTAATGTAGTCATACGGAGTTGCAAATGAAGCCCGGGATTTGAATTTCCCGGGCTTCATTTGCATAAAGCCGGCCAGCGCCATTTTTAAATGCCAGCTAGGTCGGACCCCGTGCCGCGTGTAGCCCCTAGAGGCCCCCTTCTATCTGTGCCCCCCCATTGCCCCTCCCTCAGAGGGCCTCCTCAATCTGTACCCCAATTGCCCCTCCCCCAGCACCTCCCATTGCCCCTCCCCCAGAGCCTCCCTCTCTCTGTACCCCAACTGCCCCTTCCCCATTGCCCCT